TACTCTGTGCTTTGGTGTATAGACATTTGAGTCCTTTATGACTGACACCTATGTGTTAGTGCACTTTGTGTGACACTCGCTATTAAAAGCTTGATTTTGCTTGATAGCAAGGTTGATATTCTTGTTCACACACATCTATGTTACTTGCACTGCTAACCCTGTAATTTCTGATTGCCGGGGACAGGGATGTTCTGTATCAATTAACTCGCTGTCCCTTGTTTAGTTTAAATATTCCTCCAGAAAATCTGTGGGTTTATTGCCAAGTAACTCAGTCCCTTTCTTTGATGGATGCAAACCGTTTCTTTTGAACAGTTTCATTGGAACAGCTACAGACATTATGACCATTCAACATGAATCCCTGGCTAGCTAGACATAATGGTCCTCAAAACATGCCTTTCATGGTTTCCAAAATTGTCATTTCTTATTGGTGAGTTTAAATTTGTCATTTCTGATTTTTTTGGTCAGTGTCTGTTGTTGGGTTAATTTCCTTCTCAATTCTGTCTAAAAGGTGTTAATGTTTGTGTTGTAAATCGGTTTTATCTATCTATCCTTTTTGTGAAAATAAATGTGTATCTATCTACAAGAGTCTTTTGAAGCTCAAGTCTACTTGTGTGGGGAAATAATTTTCTTAAATTACTTTTCTTATCCTATCTCTAATTGGTGAAACTACTATGAAGCTTTCCTGAAACATATAAGCATTTCTCAATCTCTAAAACAATGTGGTCTATTTTAGAATAAATGTTAAAGGCAGATTCTTCTGCCTCTGGAAAATTGCATACCTTAAAATATTAGACTTTTAAAATTATTTGGAGCTTTCAGCATTCTCAAGCTGCCTAGCATTTTTTTTCTTCAAGGTGCAAACCTTGTCTTTAATATGTTGCAAATGTTCAAGTTCAGAAGTGAAACATTTCATGTATGTTCTCTTACCTGAATCCAGGTTTTTCTCGTCCTCATCTGTGATTGTCCCCATTTGTCTGCCTATCTGTTTCTTTGACCACTACAATATTGATACCTTTTCAAAGTGCCTGCAAGCTACCCCCCCCACACCCTCATGTACTTCTCTTTTTCTTGTCTTTTGTTCTTCATGCCTTTTGTCTGCCTCTCCTGGGAGAGTCCATCCAGAAAGGGGGGGCAGAATCTTATTCTCATGTCTTTTAGCCCTGCATAGATGACCCCCCCACACACACACAACCTTTGGAAGCAGAACACACAGACCCAGATGCTGCCTCCATCCATTTGAGCCATGGAATTGAGTTTTGAATCCAGCCATCCATTAAAAAGCCACCATGCAATCTGAGTGGAACATCTTCCCAAGTCCTACCATTCCCCCAGATGCCTGTGAGAGCTGCAGAAGGAAGGAGTCCTGGAGCCACTGGTCCCTATGTGAAGCCTCAGAAAAGAAAATTAGACTATGGGGGGAGGGTGAAAAGTCATTGCACATTTTTTTCTTGCTACATTTGTATTGTAACAAGCCAGTTGAATGTATTAATGGAGAGATGGCATTTGGGAATAGTTGGCACAGCAAGTACTGAACACCTTGGACTTCTGTCTGGTGGGAGGAAAAGTTTATCCAGAATGTTTGTAGTGCCTGTTTTGTAGAAATATCTGCGCATGCACACAAACACACCATTCATAATCACATTGAGTCTCTTTCACCTACCTTCAGTAAGGTTCCCCAGGCTGATTTTTGCTCTATTGCACCAAAGCTTTGTAGGAACAACTGCCGGCAAATTCCAAGGGGTAGGGAACCAGGCCCCCTCAGGCAGTTTTGCAATTCTTATGCCCTGACTAAAGAAGTAGCAGGAAAGAGATCCCCAAACCTCAGCCCTGAATATCTTGCACTGGTGGATTCAGATTCGAATTCCTAGAGCTCACTATGTGCAATTTAAGAAAAATTTAATAACCTGGCATACTGGCTAACCTAAATTGGACATTACTAATCTGGATGTACTGAACTAAGAGCTAAGGCAGGACACAACTCTTGAAAATGGGCCAGTGGTTATGTACTGAGGAGAACCATGGCTGTGAAGAATTTTGGGAGGAATGTGCAAACCTTACTGGAAGCTAAGAGTGACATCCAACATTTGAAAATGATTGGCACAGAATATTGGACACTATAAATTTCTTTTCCACCTAACAAATTTTTTGCCCTGACTTTTAGAACTTTATGGGTTGCAAGCTCCCCTTTTGGGAGCCACTGAAGGGATCTTTATCTGCTGCCCCCATTAATGTCTTATTTTTTGGCTTAACAGTTTAAAAGCTTGTTTACCAAGTCTCCTTGACCAGATCAATTTTAATCTTGTGCCAATAAGCATGTCATACATTCTCACACTTAAGGCACAAAGGGGGGAATTGTGGGAAGTCAGAGCAACCCCCAGAGAAGGAAATATTAAAAGGGCAGAAAAATATATTTTTCCTCAAAAGGATTTTTAAAAGCAGAAACCAACTCAGCCCCCAAATCTCTCTGTCTCCAAGCAAGAGCCAGCCCTATACAAATGCAGATGTAACACTACCAGGAAAGCTGGAGCCAGAAGACAAAGACCTAAAATCTGCATATCCCACCTGAGATGGGACATAATAGGACTAACCCATTACCATCAAATATACCAGAGAGTCACACCTAGACTCAGGTCAGAATACGTGACACAGGAAATAGCCTCAAAGTTCATGCCACAGGAACAGGAAACTATTCCAAACAAAAGGCTAGAGAGGGTATAAAAACCTACTGCCCATGTGCTCAGGTCCTTCTTTCCTCTGGTCTTTTCTAGAAGAACCATCTTTCTACCTTTTCAATAAACTGTAACCTTCTTTCCAAAGCAGTTGCCATGTTGCTTATTTATTCCCGGCTTGGATGAACCAGGATGAAGACTTTATTTCCAACAATGGAATATGTTACTATTAAGCTATACACACACACACACACACACACACACACACACACACACACACATCAAGTAGAAAGGAGCCTGAGCCCTCTTAAATTGCTCAAGAAATCTATTTTAAAAATTCATTTAAAACTTTGCAGACGTGGCTAAAACAAGGACAATTTTTTTTTCAGAGACCTACATTATACTGTAGCCTTGAGCAAACAGTCATCCATAGGATGAAATATGGGGCAATGGAAACTTGCCATTTTTCATCCCCTTGGATCACTCTTGGAGATAGTCATAGCAGCAGTCAGGATTGTGCATTTTAACTAAGCTTGTTTAATGCAAGTATTCATTATTTAAAGCTCTATGGATGTATGAATATCAATACTGCTTTGATTGAAATATATCCCATCAAAACCTTGGTGCATAGTTTCTAATTTGAAACCACAGATAGTCCTCAACTTACAACAGTTCATTTAATGACTGTTTGAAGTTACAACGGTATTGAAAAAAGTGACTTACGACCATTTTTCACACTTATGACTGTTGAGGCATCCCTATGGCCACATGGTTTACATTCAGATGCTTGACAACTGGTTCATATTTATGATGGTTACAGTGTCTGGGGATCACGTGATCATCTTTTTTACAACCTTTTGACAAAGTCAATGGGGAAGCCAGATTCTCTTAACAACCTTGTTACTAATTTAACTGCAGTGATTCACTTAACAAATGAGGCAGGAAAAGTCATACAATGGGGCAAAACTCACTTAACAAATTTCTCATTTAGCAATATAAATTCTGAGCTCAATTGTGGTCATAAGTCAAGGACTACCTGTATTTGGGTTTAAAGGTTTTTCTAGTTGGAAGCTAGCCATTAAATGTTTTTCCAAAGCATAACAGCAGTGATCTTTTTGAAAGGTGAAGTGGATTGGCTTAACCTGTAAACTTATCCTTCATATGCATGTATAGGTGGTACAATAGAAGCTTTTAACAATCAAGCACTATATTAACCTAATTACATTTAACCCAGGGGACTTCAAACTTGGCCCTTTTATGACTTGTGGACTTCAACTTCCAGAATTCTTCAGCCAGGCATGCTGGCTGAGGAATTCTGGGAGTTGAAGTCCACAAGTCATAAAAGGGCCAAGTTTGAAGACCCCTTTCTTATATCGATGTAATTTCAAAAGAATTACTTAGCCCAATATTAACTTATTGGCTTTCAATCTAAGTGATCTTTGTAGGACTGTCCAAAAAGGAAGATAAAATAGGAAAAGGATGATCCTATACCACGGGTGTTAAACTTGTAACATCATGTGACATGTCACGACGTATCGTGACTTTTTTCCTATTGCCAGCAATGGGGTGGGCGTGGTTTTGGCGTGACGCATCCGACCCTGTGGGCCAGCAGTTTGACACTCCTGTCCTATAACTCATCAAGTGATGATATTCAGCTAGTTTTGGCTTAGCAATGTTGCATTTGGTTAATACTTGAACAGAAGACCACGAGGAAATCCCTAGAGTGTAGGCTAGACTATAAAGCTGAGAGAAATATCCCAGAAGGAAAGGCAAACCATTCCCAAATTACTCCAAAAAATTACCCAGACCTACAGGTATAGACACCAACCCTCAAACTTAACTTAAAGAGGTTTTCCCCCTAAAAAAAATATTTAATATTCCTGGATCAAGCTTATGAAGTTGGAACCCACAATGAGGGTAAAAGGCCATTTTAAAAAAGACTGAAATTGCTGCGCTATGCAGTTGAATCAGTGGTTTCTTCTCCCATAACCAAACAGTTAAAGGGGTGGTGGGAGAAGGGGGAGGAATTTTGATATGCAGAACGAGACACTCCCACCCACCCCTTTGCTCTTTAAGACTCGTTAGAGAGAGGGGAGCTGTTATTACAAGGGGAGGGGTAGCTGGATGGGCGCATTGCAAAAGTGAAGGGAGATTTAGGAGAACCTTCCAGCTTGGTAGCCCCCTTCCTCCTCCTCCTCCTCCTCCTTTCCTCTTCCAAGGAAAGCGTTTCTTACGCGGAGCAACTCGGCTCTCGACCGCTGCGAGGCGATCTCGAGCTCTGGCCAGCGGCAGCCCGGATGTAGCAGCGCAGCAGCCAGCCCGAGCCGCCGATCGGTGCCTACTGGCCTCTCTCGCCAAGTGTGGCACCGCGCAGAGCAGGAACATGGCGCTCAGAGAGATGTGACGGGGGAAGGAGCCGGAGATGCCGCGGGCGCTTGCCTGACACGCAGCCGGCCGGCCGTCGGTAGGCGCGGGCAGGGCTGGGGAATGAATGAATGAATGAATGGCGCTGCTTGGGACTTCGGAGCCGCAATCCTAGAATGGGGGAAAGGAAGGAGAGGGCGGACGGGAGCATCCGTCGCCTAGCCTGGAGGGAAGGGAAAGAAGGAAAAGCACCCCCTGCTTGTCACCGCCTTTGTCGGCTTTCCCCCATCTTCGGAGGCAGCGCTGTTTTCTGGCTTGCGAGGCCGGCAACTCCGCCGCGCAGAAAGGAGAGAGAGCCGCTGGCTGGCTGGGTGGGTGTGGACGGCGTGTGCCATCGCCGGAGCTGCCGGGGGGGGGGGGCGACCGGGAATACGAGGGTCCCGGGCGGCATTTGGGGATGGCGTCCAACCTTCCCCGGCTCCAGCGGGGCCGGGTCGGCGGAATCACGCACCGCTATACTGGCGCCGGCCCCAACTCCTGCTCCTGAGGAGGGCGGGTCCGCGCGGCTCTGGATGTGCGCGAAACCTTGGTCGAAGTCGGCGTCGGGCGTCGCGCTGGTTAGAAATAAGCCTGCGGGTGGGGGGGAGGCAGGAGCCAAACCCACTCGGTAGGATCGCTCCTAATATGTGGCCGGCAGCTACAGGCGTACCCCGGGGATACACGTGTGTGGACGTGCGTGTACAGGGGCGCACCTCAGATCGGTGAGATTATGTGTGGCGAAAGGGTTTTAAGGAAGCCGAGCGGTGATCCGAAGCGAATGGAGGAGCTCCCTGATTCTGCGCGTTCAAGATTTAAAGAAATGATACAAAAATAGAGAAATCTAAAACGGGTGCCAGTGGGTTGTGCAGCAAACTGTGACCTTGCCATTTTAGATGTCGGCGGAGGTAGCAAAGGCGGGAGGGGGAGGGATGGGGAAAAGAGAAAGATTAAACAATACCGGCTTTTTAAACTATAAGGGAGAAACTTTTCCTTTGCAAGCTACTTGCTCTGATTAGATTTCACACTTTTTTGTTTAACAGTTTCATAGATGCGATATGCCTCTATTTATAAAATCAAATGGACCTGAAATATGTAAATAGTGTCTTTTGCCAATCTCTTGAAGTCCAGCATAAATGTAAATATTCTATGGTGCATATTTCTAGGAATTTAAAGGAGACAGCAGATAATATCCAACTAACACTCTGCAAACACTTTTTTAGAGCACAATATTTTAAACACATTATAACACAGAAGTCAACTCCAAGTAACTCTAATTTAAAAATAAATGGGTGGTTGCAATCGTAATCTGTTATTTTTCAACAAATTGGCTACAGAGGTCCTTTCGCTTTTAAACATTTTTAAATAATAGAAAGTGAAGAATTAATTAAACCCTCCAAACTGGTTACCTTTATAGCTACCAGTAAATAATTAACTTTTCATTAGCAATCAAAGATGGTGTGCAAACTCATTACAAGAATTAGACTGTCACTCTGAAAGAACCACAGTGTAGGGAGTGGGCAGGAAATCTTGAAGGCCACTCTTGAAATCAGTAGAGAATACCACCACATCTTTTTAATTATATTGAGTTTAAAACATGAAACTTAAGCTGCTGCCTACCTTCACTATATGGGCAGTAAAGTTTTTTTTTAGGAATTTGCTAATTCTTTTGTCCTTTTTATAAAATTACATTCATTTCACTGGGTGTAATGCTTTGAGGTTTATGAGAGTAGTTCTATAATGCCTATGTTATTTCTGCATAATTTATTTCTGGCATGGGATGGGAAAAGCCACAGCAACTTTGCGTAATACAAAAGTGTGCAAGATATCAGACCAGGTTCCCCAGACTCATATATTCCAGAAGTGACGGACTTCATCTTTCCCCTAACTAGCATCATTATGAGAGAACACCAGACTGGCAAAGATTGACAGCTAGACATAGCATAACAAAAGGAAAGGCATGATGCTCACAGGAATGATATAGCGATTTCCAGAGGCGTGAACATTCAGGAGAACATGCAGAATGAGAATAGGAGAATCACAGATTGGGCTGACATCAACTCCAGGCATCTTGGGGCATCTAGATTGAGATCCCTTTTTAATTTTCCATAATGCCTCTCTCCTAGCATCACTCAGAGGCTTTATGGCAAACTCAGTGGATGGCTAGATGCAATTATTTAGCATTTCAATGCGTACTTTCCCCTTCCCAGCCATGTCATCCTCCTTTAGGAGATAGAATAGTTGCCACTTCCACAGATTCTAAATGCATGGGCTTTGGCTCATTGTTCCCCAAATATAAAAATAACAGTAGAGTAGAGTAGGAATAGGAACAGAATACAATAGAATATCAGAATTGGAAGGGACCTTGGAGGTCTTGTACTCCAACCCTTTGCTCAAGCAGGAAACCCTATATCATTTCAGACAGGTGGCTGTCCACTCTCTTCTTAAAAGCATTTTACGAACAAAGAACAACTTCAATGTGGTTATTTCCCTTCTGAATTTGGGGCAACTTGGAACTTAAAATCTAATCTCTTTTGTAGCAGGAAACAGAGAGTCTTGCTTGATATTCCTAGAAATGTGGAAGATGGCAAAGAGATTTCGGATCAGTAAGCTGAGGAATAGACACTATCTGTTCTGGCAAATATTGGTAAATCTTAATGCCACATGTGAAGCCTCTTGACTGTTTTTCTTCAGAGCTGACCCCATGTGTTCTTTAAGCTTTTGCTTGTCCCTAAACAGCTCAAACTACTTTTTTGTCAGTTGGACCTTTATCCTGTAGAACATGGGTGTCAAGCTCACCACGTCACATGACGTGTCGCGATGTATCACGACTTTTTTTGCATTGCTGGAACTGGGGTGGGCACAGCCTCCATATGATGCAACCGACCCGTGGGCCGGCAGTTTGACACCCCTGCTGTATAATATAGCTTCTCTTATTACTCTGATTGAATCTGATTATGTACTTCCTCTGATTTCTTTACGTTTTTAGAGACCTTATCAGTTTCCCTCTTTGTTATAGGTACCGAATCAAAGCCAGTCAATTTTCTTTAACTATTCTTCAAAGAGGAATTGTGGTGCTTGGTTTCAGCTAGGAGGTATATTCAAATTTCATGCATGCTTTACTTGCAATAGCATTCTGTCTCTAAATGGAGATACTGTGTCCTATATTTCTCGAGAACTTTGCTTTGCTCATTTTCTTCGATATATTTCCAATTTACATTATAATTCAACACATTTTCTTGACTTGGGGTTCCATATGTGATTCTAACTGATGAGTCAATGACACAAACCATCTGAAACCTCTTTGAAATAATGTAAAATCTTACAGGTTCTGAGAATTCTTATCTAAGATCAGCGAAAGCTCTTGAGAACAACTGAACTTACAATATTTCTGTTCATTTATTTTTAGAATGTTGGTGGAGGTCCTTACTCATCTCTGATTTAAGCCCTGAATCATATCTATCTAACTTGACAGGCATATTAGCACCTTGTTCTTTGTTTTGTTATTGGTTGAACAACCTGCATATACTCCACTTCTGCTTTTGCTTTAAGAAATAGATGTCTTAATAATATATTGAGGTTGAACCTAATCTTGGAATTTATATGCCAGCTCTGTATTTTGAGTTGGAATAATATCCTTTTGAAATGCTTTAAATAACTTTTTTTTAGGGTAGGCCTAAAGAATATTTCAGCACCGATTCCTGTGTTGATTAATCTGAGGAATGGTTATAAGGGGAGAGAGAAATGTACAGCAGGATATCTTCATATGTCCCTTGTGACTCGTGACTTGTTCCTATTTTAATCCTATCAGATAGTGGAAGGTGTGTTGGCTCAGCACAAAGTGTTTTAGAAATTTTATACCTGTCCCCCAGAGTCACTGAAATTCATGCTCAAACTCTGCCTTGCCTTGTTTTCAGATTCAGTGGCCGCTTCCTTTCGGCTCTCCCATTTCTCTCTCTCATAGCTATACTTGCTGGTCACGGTTTGTCTCTGTTGTAATGGATACTTTTCTTTGAAAAGTGCTATTAGATGGAAGCTTAAGCTTAACATCATAGGCCAGCAACTGAGTCAGATGAAAATCAGCATGAGGTTAAAGCAGGATGGTGCATCTTATGAGTTGTTAAGCTGATCATGGCCAAAAAACCATGGATGGTGCTCCTTCAGAACTTCATAAGCCACTGTTTGTTTGTTTGTTTCTTTCTTTAGTATACAAAACTGCTAAAAACAGTGAGGTGTTCTGGCACCAGACAGGCAACCATCTGTGTCTGGTGGTTAAGTTCAGTTTAGTATGGCGTACAAATGGGGACTGATTTCCTTTAGGCCAAGTGGTTTTCTTTTGAAAACTATTGTGACGTTTATTATTTTCTTAAATGCTTAAAATAGTTAAAAATAATTGATGTATATTAATATATATGTTCAAAAGCATAATCAAGAGCATCAAAACCAAACAGGAGCAAATACAAAAATGGTAGAGTTTGGTCGTTTACTAATATACAGGCGGAACAAATTTTCCCGGGAGGCTTCATGAGGAGCTTAAATTAAGGATCCCTTCAGGATGCTCCTATAAAATATCATCCCTTTCTGTTTCCTAGAGTAGCAGTGTATCTTCCCTCACAGCTGCAGGTATAGCATGGTTCAGTCCTCCTTCAACTAAGTGCCTCAGCAGAGGAAGCCATTTTTGCAAAACCAAGTACTTCCTTGAGATGGATCTGCTCAACCCTAACAAAAGCAAAAATTCAGTAAAATCTGAAGAAAAGTGATATTTGAAGCATCCATATTCCATATTTCTGTGTGAAAAGATGTTTGGACAGAGTAATATAATCCATGAGGAACTGCTTAGTTAATGTAACTAAAAAAATAGAAACCAAAGATGGGTAAAAGAATCCTCAGTGAAAAGATCTACAGGAATCTCTGCTCTTGTGTTAAATTTTCAACCAGTCTTATTTCCCACGTTTTAGGAGCTCGTTCAGGTGTCTCTTCCCTTCACAAACACATTTATCTCTTTATTGCGTGCAGATTCAGTAGTTGTGGCATTGTGCTGACTACAGATTATAGTCTGATCCC